TGAACAGGGAAAACAAACGAATCCTTCCAACATTCTGGAAAAACTCCGGAGGTCATTGACAAGTTGAAGACCTTAGCTAAGGACTCTGAAAGAGTGTCTAAGCAACGTTTCAGTACTAATGAGGGAATGCCATCTGGACCAGATCCTGTTGATGTTTTCATCTGTTTCCCGGCTGAAATCACCATGTCGCTGTGGATGGTGAATGGAGAACCAAACACCGACGTACGAGGGACATTACTCGTGGCAGCAGCAATTTCCTGAGCATCATGAACTTCGTCTGAAAAACGCTGCTGAATTGTGTGCGAAACATATTGGCGATATCTGCGACGGAGTTGGCATCAGTAACGCCATCAGTCATATTGGACGGCAATCCCGTTTCTTTCCGTTGCTCGTTCACATATCGCCAGAATTCCTTAGGATTAGCTTTGAGACGACTCTGCAAGTAAGACTGATGTGCGTTGTACAAGCTTGCATTGAGATCTCTGTACTCGTTGTTGGCGCGGACGTAATTAGCCTTCGTAGAATCTGTGTGATATTTACTGTGTTTCCTCAGTGCAGCCCTTTTCACCTTTTTTAGATGCTTAAGATCAGAGTTCGACCAGGCGGGTTTGGCAGGTTTACACCGTAGTTTTTTAGGCACAAACTGATCGATAGCGTAGAATATGATACCACACATGGTCGAGGCAGCCAGATTCGCATCCCCGGAGTCTAGTGTCGCATTCCAATCCACATTAGCGAGAAAGTTATTCATTCGCTCGAAGTCTCCTTTGTGAAAGTTGTAGAAGACGGTTTCGGCGTGGTCTTGGAAGCGTTTCTCAGGATCGATTGCAAGCGTCAACAGTAGAGATGAATGATGTCTGCAGTTTTTGACGAGCGGTGCCGGAGCATGGGTAACAGAGCAGCTTTGTCCCAAATCCTCCCCGACAAAGCACAGATCGAGCAAACGGTTGTTTGCATTCAGAACGCCATTCACTTGCTGAAGCCTTGCGGTTGAATACGCGTCAAGCAAGGAGATAGAAGCCGGTCTGAACGATGAACGGGAATTGTCAGGAAAGAAGAAGCCGTGAGCATCGCTAAGCCACGATACAGTGTCAAGGTTGAAATCGCCCAAGATGACGATGCTGTCCCTGGCATCCATTTGAGAGACAATCCAATCCAGCGAAAGTGCATGCTTCTCAATCAGACTGTGGTCGTTAACGCGGTCGGGTGGAACGTATATCACGCAGATATAGATTGTACCACTTAGAGTTGAAATTGCAACCCACAGATGCTCAACCGTCGAATCTTCAGGAGGTTTCAGTAAGCGAGATACGAAGCAGGAGCGAATGGCCAGAAGGACTCCACCACCGGAGGTCTTGTTGCTGTTGAGGGTTGATCGATCTTGACGGTAGACGGAATATGTATCGTTAAACAACTGCTTTGACAAAGTGTTGTTATTCAGCCAGGTTTCCGAGAAGGCGTATATGTCGTAGCATGCGTCGCTGCATGCTAGCTGGTATTCGGCGAGTGAGCTGTTCATGCCACCGACGTTCTGGTAGTATAGCAGAATTTGAGATGCTGGGACGCATGGAACAGCGGGCTGCAATCTGGAAGTGGAGGCAGCATCAGGCAGAGCAACGTCGAAAGAATAAGGGTACTTGCCGTGGATGGCAGCTTGGAAAGCCCTGTCCCCAGCACTAGACTCAGGGCCGGGACGACTTAGATGGTGGGGGCGTGTGAACTGACCAGGACTGGAACCAGTAGTGGGCGCAGCTGAGCTAGGTGGGTCCAGGGCTTTCATACTGCTTTGTGACGTTTCGGCTTGAAACGGAGAATTGGTCGTTGTGATTGAGGGTCTCGGTGTTCTGCAAACGGCATGTCAGCGGGCTTTGGTTCTTCCTGGAAATCACAGGAACGACAGGAAGTAGCTGACCAATGTCAAGATCGGAAGAATACTCGCCAAAATAAGTTGGGTGGAAGATCCCCTCTCCACATCCGACCACAGGCCCGGAACGACGATGATGCGCGGAGACAGCAAATGGCAGGACTGAGGCGGAGGGATTGGGGACTTCCATGAGGCTTTCTACGATGCGTTCCGAGTTTCGAGATGAAGTTGGCACAGCGGCATTCAAAGTGCTGAAAGTTCGATCGGCATCAGGTATCGAATTTGAATGGTTGAGTGTGTACTTGCCTGTCATAGGAGGTTGGAAGACCCCCAGCCCACATCTAAACTCAGGTCCAGGACGACTGTGATGAACGCAGGCAGGGACGTGCACGACTGTGTTAGAGGAACTGGGGGCTTCCAATAAACTTTCTACAATGCGTCCTGGTTGGCTAGCATGGTACGTCAGGAGTCTAGAAGGCGTTGAACTTGTTACGTCCACGCAACGCGTTAAGTAATTGTTACTGGAAATGGAGGCCGGCTCAGGAAGAGAAAACTAATAGTACAAACTCAGGAATCTTGTTTGAGGATTTCGGTCGAGCAGCTTCTGAAAGTGTTCTATTAGCAAAGGATTCAATACTTTACAACGGATGACAGCTCAGCGAAACGATCTGTCAGTGGGAGAACACCCGCGAGTACTTCGAGGCTCATCGTGTGAGTCGAGTGCATACAGCCTAGCGCAATACGAAGGCAACGGTATTGACTCCGTTGCAGCTTAAGGATGTGTGTTTTTGCTGCGGATTGGAAAACAAAAGCTGCCGTACTCTAAAACCGAAAGGATGGTTGTTCGGTACAACCTGATCAGATCTTCCGGGCGTGCTCCCCACCAAGTTCCGGTAATTGTGCGAAGAAAATTGATTCTTTGTTGGCATTTTTGTTTCACATACACAATATGTGCATGTGCATTTGGAATCAAACCAGACACCTAAATACTTGAAAGATATACTTTGAGTGATTGTTCTACCCTTTAGTTGAAGCTGTAACTGTGCAGGATGATGCTTGCTAGAAAAAAAAACAACCAACTCAGTGTTCTCCGGAGAAAATTCGATACCTAGCTTCATAGCCCAAGTAGATAAATTGTCTAAAGTATGTCGCAATGGTCCTTACAAGTCCGGTGCACTTGGCCCGGTGACGGAAACAACGCCATCATCTGCAAGCTGCCTTAGCGAGCAATTTTCATCAAGACAACCATCAATGTCTTTTACATAAAAAATATAAAGAAGGGGGCTTAAACATGCGCCCTGGGGGAGACCCATCTAACTTATTCGTGAAGTTGTCGAGTTTCCATGAGAAAAGCTCATATATTTCTCAGACAACAAGTTGCTCAAATAGTTGTTCATAAGCCCACTGAATGAAAGCCCACTATCGTGGAGTTTATCTGAAAGGACATCGATACAAATCCCTTTATACTTAGATAAGATTTAGTTTTAGTTTTTTATTATTATTTTAAGATGTCAATTGTTATACTGACATGCAGGTATGGACAACCTGATCAAAATACTGAATTGCCAAGGTAGGAAATATATATCATAACAATTAAGGCTGGTATGTTACTGTAGTAACTGGAGCACCTAGGTTAAAATTAAAAGTTATTTATTTTGAATTTGAACAAATAAAGAATTAAAAAAAAAAACATCACAAGATGTAAGGTAAAAGAATGAAGTGCTGGATTTTGTTTTAAAGCTTTGAAGAAGTCTTGGCCTGTTACAGGAATTTATTCTCGAAGAATTTCACGACCAATGATGTATTATATATTATGATCCAGTGCAGATGAATAAAATGCGGAATGTCTAAATTATGACGATGCTTGCGCAGGCATAAACAAAAGGTAATGGATCAGTCATAAATCGAGTTTGACCTACATTTTATGAAAGGAATTTCACGCTTTCACTCAACATTGGCATTTACAGGTGGTAATGATGGTAAAACACCATCATATACCCATTATTCAGCATACAGAAAATTAATTACATCGTTCGGCTACTCGTTGTAGGACTTTTTAATTTTATTCAGACAACTAATTTCGTATCCGTTCGTTGATTGTTAGAATTTATGCAACGAGCGCATTGCCATTGAATCCAGTAGCATTGCCATCGGTCATGCCTTGATTACCGACTCTATGCTCTCTCGCTATGGCTTTTTAATAATGCCATAAAATTAATTACAATTGGAAAAGTTTTCTTTTCGGTCATTTTAAAATTCCATTCTCACATTCAATCTGGTCCATGTGCCAGTCGGTTTTTGCATCGGACAGGTTTACTGCGAAAGTCTGGTGGTGAGGTGTGGTGTTCATGCGTTGGAAGCAGCCGAAGGAAAAAGAAAAACAGCTCGGATCCACAGACAAAACGAACCAAGGAGACAACGAAAAGTTTGATCATAAACATAAAATATCTCCCAAGCAGAGCAGTACACATTTTGACAGGGGCTGCAATAAATTAGTTATATTGAGTTCTAGTAAAGTTTTCCTATGCACCAGCATGAGCAGAGAAATCTCTCTAGTTCGAAGTAAACATAACCGTTCATCAAAATGATTCGGATCCACCTAATGTGAATTTTCGTTTCCATGCAAAAATTTGAAAAGCAAAATTCGAAATAAATGTTTTTCAATGGCAGTGCCAAAACGTGTGAAGCAACGACATTAGGGGCCATACAATAAGTACGTTACGCTCTACGGTGGGAAGGAAATCTATGACAAGCGATGCATAAGATGTAGGAAAAACGCGACGAAGGGATCGGAGGGGGCCTTCTATTTCTTTTATTTCGCGTGTCGTTCGTAATGGATACTCCCTTACGCTTTAGGCAAAATTGAGAAAACGACAGCAAAAGTTGGAAAAAGTTTTCCGCTCATATTACCATGCTCAAATGATAAATTGTGAAATGTATGAAAACTAGTTCCAGCGAGTAAAACGCAGCATTGAAGTAACGTTACATCAGCTCTGAAAGCATGCAAATTTCCACATTAGTTTTGAAATTTTATCTACAATTCAAAACTTTATGTATAAATTACAAATTGACAATGTAATTTTTTCAAAACAAAAGTTTTCACTTTTCTAATGATCTATCTATTTCCCCTTTTCAGCATCCCTCCGAGCCAACTTTGAATATACCTGTAACTGCCACATCTACAAATCCAGCCATGATGGAATGCGAGTGAGTTTCCTAGCAATAGTTATTATGAAATCCTCTCCTACGAAACCTACCAGTAGAAAATCACATTCTCAACATTGATAAGTGATTCTGTCTCATGAGCTACAAACACTCTATATTATTCCACTTTTCCGACCGATTTCCACCGAATTCTAATTCAGTTGAATTAAAATATTAAAATATTCCTCAGAACCTGCTCCAAACTGCAAAACGAACTGATTCAGCAAAGTGAGCGACACTCCCACGAGGCCGAGCAACTGAACGAGGAAATTAATTATCTCAAGGTATGTTAAGGGGATAACTCGATAAAGGTGAGTGTGTGATTGTGATACCGTGGTCCTCGTTCTCGTCGCAAGACTGGATATAATAATAGTAACGATTCGAAAGACCACCAGACAAACGTACGAAAGTGTGGCTGGTGGAATGGGAAAATGGTTGTGGATAATTAGCTCTTTCTTTCTCTCTCTCTCTCGCTCTTTAAAGTAACTAAACTGTAATTTATGGGTGTTACTTTATCTTAGATTGTACCTTTGGCTGGCAGCCAGTGGAGGAAGTTACTGGGAAGTTCTGGGTGGTGATTAAGGTTGGCCATTCGATACATTAGCAAAGGGACAGATAAGAACTTTTGCAACGCCACCGCCGAGAGGTGGAAGATAAATCTCATGGTTATCAATTAGAATGACTGGAGCGACACTTTTTCATTTCAACAGGCACAACGGTGGGGTTTTCAACATGATTCATCAACTTCTCTGACGAAGTTGAGTGCTGAAATATTTTTAATTAGAAGCACACATTTGAATAATTATAGGGGAAATATACTGCATTTTTGAAGAATAAAAATTCAAAATACAATTCGTTTCAATTTTTTTTATAGAACCATCATCAGCTGGATGCTTAATTAGGAAAAAATGTTTCCATACCCATCTTTTAATCATTAAGATGAATAAAATTTCAAAATTTACCCCATAAACAATACTCATATGTGTCAATATTTAAGTGGAAATACTCAATAAAAATATTTGGATGCACCATAAATAAGTGAAATTGCACCAGTAAATATTAAACATTATGCATAAAACAAAAGACATTATAAATAAGAAACATAAAATGATGCATAAAAAAATTATTAAATGTTCCCTAAAAAATACTGAAATGTTCCATGGTCATAATTTTAGGGAGCATTTTACCTATTTCTTGTTGCGTAGATTTACTGTCCTGACCATGTTTCTTAGTTAGAGGAGCAGAGCGACGGACAACTGTCCAATGGAAGCTTCAAAAAGATTAACATTTAATCTTTTCGAAGATTCTATTGGACGCTTACTAGTCGTTCTGCTTACTTACCTTACCAATCAGGCTTGTCGTTGTTGTCCTCTGCTGTTCGAAAAAGTCACCTCCACTCTACTGGATCCATGGCCACACTTCGCCAGCCTCGTAGTCTGCTTAGGGTCCGCAGGTCGCCTTCTACTTGGCCGATGCACCATGCCTGCGTGCCTCTTCTTCTTGTTCCTGTTGGGTCGCTTTCTAGAACCATTTTCACTGGGTCGTCATGCGGCATTCTTACGACGTGCCCAGCCCACCGTAGTGGCCGAATTTTTGCAATGTGGACGATGCATGGTTCTCCCAGCAGCTGGTGCAATTCGTGGTTCATTCGCCTCCTCCACGTTTCGTCATCCATCTGCACGTCATCCGTGCAAACACCAAGGGCACGTTGATTCTCCACGAGCATAGTCCAGGTCTCGTGGACGTAGAAGACCACCGGTCTAATCAGTGTATTGTAGACAGTCAACTTCGTGCGGCGGCGAATTTTATTCGACTGGAGCGTCCTCCGGAGTCCAAAGTAGGCACGATCCCCTGCCATAATGCGTCTTTGTATGTCTCTGCTTTGATGGCAAGTCCTATCCGCCTAACTTCAGCCTTCAGTCTGATATACGTTTCCGCCATCGTCTCAAAGTTCCGTGCCATGATGTCAATGTCATCGGCGAAGCCAAGAAGCTGGATGGACTTCCTGAAGATCGTGCCACTCGTGTCTATCCCAGCTCTTCTGATCACACCTTCTAACGCGATATTGAATAGCAGACACGAAAGTACATCACCTTGCCGTAACCCCCTTCGAAAAACAAAGGGACTCGAGAGTGTCCCCGATACTCAAACAACGCACATCACTCGATCCATCGTCGCCTTGACCAATCGCGTCAGTTTATCCGGAAATCCGTACTCGTGCATAATCTGCCATAACTGATCTCGATCGATTGTGTCGTATGCGGATTTGAAATCGATGAACAAATGATGTGTGGGCACATTGTATTCGCGGCATTTCTTCAGAACCTGCCGAATCGCGAAAATTTGGTCCGTGGTAGCGCGGGCACCCATGAGTCCCGCCTGGTATTGCCCCATGAACTCTCTTGCAAATGGTGACAGGCGGCGGCATAGTATTTGGTAGAGTAGGTACCTTGTAGGCGACGCTCAGCAATGTGATCGCGTGGTAGTTGCAGCAATACAACTTGTCGCTTTTTTGTAGATTGGGCATACGACACCTTCCATCCACTCCTCCGGTATTATCTCCTCCTCCCAAATCTTGGCAGTTACCCAGTGCAGCGCTCTAGCCAGTGCTTCACCACCGTATTTTAATAGCTCACTTGGTAGTTGATCTACACCAGTTGCTTTGTTGTTCTTCTGCCGACCGATCTCCTCCTCAATTTCTCGAAGATCAGAGACCGGTAGCCTGCCGTCTTCAGCGCGTGCTCCAAGGTCTGTTGCCGTGTCACCTTCGTTTTTTGCTGCTTCACCGTTGAGGCGCTCGTCATAGTACTGCTTCCACCTCTCAATCACCTCACACTCGTTCGTGAGAAGGTTTCCGTCCGAGTCCTTGCACATATCGGCTTGCGGCACGTAGCCTTTGCGCGAACTATTTAGCTTCTCGTAGAACTTCCGTGTGTCGTTTACGCGGTACAGTCTTCCTGCTATCGCTTCTTTCTTCGGAATACCGAGTTTTGTCTGTTCCGCGCTTGTCTGTATCGCTCCACATTCAATCTCGTGCGGTGTTGCAGCATTCTCGCCCGTGCTGCATTCTTCTCCTCTACTAACAGTTTGCATTCGCCGTCAAACCAGTCATTTCTTCGGTCCGGGATTGCAGTACCTAGTGCCGCTGCAGCAGTACTACCTATGGCTGAACGGATGTCCCTCCAGCCATCTTCAAGAGAAGCTGCGCCAAGCTGCTCTTCCGTGGGTAGTGCAACTTTCAGCTGCTGCGCGTAGTCCTGGGCAACTCCAGCGTCCCGTAGTTGCTCAATGTTGGGTCACGGCGTTCGACTTGGACGTGTGTTATGCACCGTCGAGAGTTTTGAGTGCATGCATACTGCAACTAGGTAGTGGTCCGAATCTATGTTCGCACTGCGGTACGTGCGGACGTTGATAATGTCGGAGAAGAATTTCCCGTCGATTAGAACGTGATCGATTTGGTTTTCTGTGTGTTGGTCAGGTGATCTCCAGGTGGCTTTGTGGATATCCTTGCGGGGGAAAAAGGTACTTCGAACTACCATTCCTCGAGAGGCTGCAAAGTTCACGCATCGTTGGCCGTTGTCGTTCGATACGGCATGCAGGCTGTTTGGCCGGTCTGTAGATTGCCTCCCGTTCTACCTGAGCGTTCATGTCGCCGATGACGATTTTGACGTCCCGTTGCAAACAGCCGTCGTACACCTGCTCCAGCTGCGCATAGAACGCTTCTTTCTCGTCTTTGGGTCTCCCTTCGTGTAGTTGAAGAAACGGCCCTTCATCCGCAACTTGCACATCCTCGCGTTGATCGACTGCCAACCAATCACGCGTTGGCGCATCTTACCCAGCACTACGAAGCCGGTTTCCAGCTCGTTGGTGGTGCCACAGCTCTGGTAGAAAGTAGCCGCTCGATGCCCGCTTTTCCATACCTTTTGTCCCGTCCAGCAAAGCTCCTGCAGTGCTACGACTTCGAAGTTGCGTGGTTGAAGTTCGTCAAGTTCGCAGCCCGGGAAGCCGAGCGATTTGCATTTCCATGTTCCGAGTTTTCAATCCTACTAATTATTTCATTGCATAGGTCTGTGCCGATTGTTCCGATCCGTATTTCTTTCTTCAGTATTTGCAACTTTATGTTTTTTTCCAGGGCGGCTTGTTGGGCCTGCCCCAACCCCCTGTCTCACCGGGAGACCATACTGCACAGCTCTGTTTAGAGTCCCACGCTGGCACTAGGACGGTGATCAGCCGCTCCTAACATATAGAAAAGACGCCGTTTTGAGCCGCACCTCCATGGTGAACAGACGCTCGGGTTTGGTGAAGCATTTCCTCTATCACCGTACTTTGGTTACTGCGCCGGTGTGTGCGTCGCACTTCTTCATTTTGATATTGCCGGACTGGCAACATTGCCCAGGCTACGCTACGCTTGGAGACATACTTCAAGTCCCCGCGTACATCGTACGGGTTAGGCAAAAATGTGCGTCTATCTTGAAAAACTGTCACATTAATGGCCCTTCGCTCATTTTCAACTTCTATTCAATTTTCATACTGCCGTACTCTAACGGAACTATCCACCTACCCTCTTCTAAAGATCATTCTCTAGCTAATAAATCATCACACTAAAGCTTCATGTTAGCATTTCCAACCAACTCTGAAAATCGTTAACTTCGCGTATGAAGTAACACAAAAACACTTTGAATGTTTTTCAAGCTCCTTTTTTTCTTTTTTCAAAATCAGAAGAATCTCACAGTCATGAAAATTCTTTAATCAATCAAATCGTTAATAAAAGTATCGGATCTCAATTAATTAAAGTTCAAAATGTCCAAAATTATTTCAAACTTTATTCCTTCTGTTTGTAAAATTCGTGTTTTTGGCACTATTTTTCCAAGTAGCGTGGACAGACCTCGAAATATTTCTATGAAATTTAAAAGAGACTTTGAAATGTTTTGGAGATCGCATTCATAAAAGTATGTAAATTCTAGAAGGTGCCTTAAATTATTAAATGTTTCAAGATCGTTGAACTTTCTAAATAAAAAAAAATCTGAAATGTATTAAGTTTCTGGCCACGTTACATTGCAAGCATTACAGAAGTTTATTAGCATTCTAAAAGCCTAAATTATGATTTACAGGACCTTCATAAAACCAAAAATTTAACTTGGTTTATGATGTATTTTATGATTATGAATAATCTCTAACATCTATTGAATTTGTTATTATTAGGGTTTGAGAACGATGGTGAGTTCACCATGTTATATCTTCATTTATTTCAGCAACCTTATCTTCCAGAAGACGCTCTGGACAG